TATTTATTTTTAAATTTAAATTAGAAACAAGGTTGTGCCGGGCGGTGGTGGCACACGCCTTTAATCCCAGCACTCGGGAGGCAGAGGCAGGCGGATCTCTGTGAGTTCGAGGCCGGGCTGGACTGATAGCCTCCGAAACAATACAGAGAAACCCTGTCTCGTAAAAACCAAAAAAAAAAAACAAAAAACAAACAAACAAAAAAAAGAAACAAGGTTGCTTCACATGTCAATTCCAGGTCCCTCTCCGTTTCCCTCCCCTCCTCCCGTGCCCTCCCACCAACCCCCCCAATATACCCTCATTTCCTCAGAGAGGGTGAGGCCCTTCATGGGGGTGTCCATAGTCTGTCATTTCATCCAGGGCAGGGCCTAGACCCTCCCGCAAGAGTTTAGGGTGAGAGTGCACCTCACATTGTTGGATGGGAGTCCAAAGTCCGTGTGTATACTCGGGATGAATACTGATCTTCTGCCCAAGGCTCAATAGATTACCTAGGCCTCCTCACTGACACCCAGATTCAGGGGGTCTTGATCAGTCCCATGCTGGATTCCCAGGCATCAGCCTGGGATTCAAGAGCTAACCCTTGTCAGGTCAGCTGTTTCTGGGGGTGTAAAAATATTTTAATTGCATTAATGCATACTGCTGTCTATTCGTCTAAATTAAGTCTCAATTCCTAAACAAACTCATTAGATGCTGAAAAAGCCTATGACAAAATCCAACAGCCCTTCATGATAAAGGTCTTGGAGAGATCAGAGATAACAGGAACATACTCAAACATAATAAAAGCAATATACAGCAAACCAACAACCAACATCAAACTAAATGGAGAGAAATTCAATGCAATTCCTCTAAAATCAGAAACAAGACAAGGCTGTTCACTTTCTCCATACCTCTTCAATACTGTACTTGAAGTTCTAGCTAGAGCAATAAGACAACAAAAGAAGATCAATGGAGTACAAATTGGAAAAGAAGAAGTCAAACTTTCACTATTTGCAGATGATATGATAGTTTACATATGTGACTTGAAAAACTCTACCAGAGAACTCCTACAGCTGATAAACACCTTTAGCAAAGTGGCAGGATACAAGATTAACTAAAAAAATCAGTAGCCCTACTATATACAGATGATGAATAGACTGAGAAAGAAATCAGAGAAACATCACCTTTTACAATTGCCACAAACAACATAAAATACCTTGGGGCAACTCTAACCAAACAAGTGAAAGACCTGTATAGCAAGAACTTTGAGTCTTTGAAGAAAGAAATTCAAGAAGATACCAGAAAATGGAAAGATCTCCCATGCTCTTGGATAGGTAGGATCAACATAGTAAAAATGGCAATCTTGCCAAATGCAATCTACAGATTCAATGCAGTCCACATCAAAATCCCAGCACAATTCTTCACAAACCTTGAAAGAACAATTCTCAACTTTATATGGAAAAACAAAAGACCCAGGGTAGCCAAAAAGAAAAAAAACCTGTACAATAAAAGAACATCTGGAGGCATCGTCATCCCTGACTTCAAACTCTATTATAGAGCTATAGTCCTGAAAACAGCTTGGTACTGGCACAGGTAGACCAATGGAATCAAATTGATATAGACCCGCACACCTGTGAACACCTGATTTTTGACAAAGAAGCTAAAATTATATAATGGAAAAAAGAAAGCATTTCAACAAAAGCTGCTGGCATAACAATGCTGGCATGTCGAAGACTGCAGATAGATCCATGTCTATCACCATGCACAAAACTTAAGTCCAAAAGGATCAAATACCTCAACATAAATCCAGCCACACTGAACCTCTTAGAAGAGAAAGTAGGTGGTACCCTCAAACAAACTGGTACGGAATTCCTATTTGTCTGTATTGTGTATTTGGTATGACATTGTTTCTATCTTTTCCTAGTCCTCTAGAGACAGCATCCCTTGGCTCTATACCATTTAAGACTTTTAGTAAGTTCAACATCATGACGTCCCCAGGAGCACTTTTTATATTTACATAGTACAATAGTTACTTAGCTATTTAGTTGTATGTCACACAGTCATTTGTGGAAGATTGCAATGTGGCAATCTAGAAATCCTAGCTTTTCCTTCCCCAGGGCATATTGCTGCTGCTACTTTTTTAGTGGCTTTTATGAGCTAAGTCTGCAAAGTCAGTATTCATTGTCATGTCTGACCACTGGAGTCCCTGCTCAGCTTGGTACTCAATTATCTTAGATTATCTTAGATGCCTTGGACCAGTAAATCTCAGCCTTTACTCACAGGCACTTGGAGCATGTTGGAGCACACCTTTAGTAGTGTGGCAGGCAGTTTACAGCTCTGCAGTTTCCCTTCATTTCTAAGTCAGCCAGAGGTGAGAGATTAGGGCTGGCAGCTCTGCTGATGGGTGAGCCCCAAAGACGTAAGGACAGCTCATTCTCCTGTGGACAGCATATTCCTCGGCTTTTCCTTTAATGTTTCATCAGTTTCTCATTTGCTTCAGCTGTGGTTCCTGCCTCTGCTTCAAAGCAGCCATTGCTGACAGTTCTTAAAATTATTGATTTTTAAAATGTTTGTATTTATCCTTTGAAAATTTTACTTGTGGAGCGTATCTTGTATACAAAGTATCTTCATCATATCCATCCCCCACTCCCCACTTCAATCCCCCTCCCAAACAATTCCACATCCTCATTTTAAATATTTTTATTAATATCCTTTTAACCCCTGAATGTAATAGTACTGTCACTATATGCCTGCATAGTATGTCATCCACTGGGACATGGGTAACCTGCCAGGGGCCAGCCCTCTCCTAAGCATGGTGACTCCCTCCCCACAGCAGCCATCAACTGCCAGTAGTTCCCAAGCTAGGGCCGGGATCTACTAGCCCTTCCCCACCCAGGACAGAATTTTAACTAAGTTCATGTGTACAACAACCACGCCATGTGAAGACAGCGTTTAACTCAGTTCGTGTGAACAGCATCCACGCCGTGTGAAGAGGACAGCGTTTAACTCAGTTCGTGTGAACAGCATCCACGTCGTGTGAAGAGGACAGCGTTTTCCTCTTGTCCCGCAGCCCTCACTGTTTTCTCCCTCTCTTCAGGAATGTCCCCTAAGCCTTTGCAGGGTATTTATTTATTCATGACGGGGCCTTGCTATGTGGCCCTTGGTTGGCCAGGTGCTCACTATGTAACCTAAGACAGCCTAAAACTTGCAGCAATCCTTCTGCCTCGGCCTCCTGGGTTCTGAGATTGCAAGCGTGAATGACTGTGCCCACCAATCGCTGACAATTCTTCGTAGTAAATATCCAGGGGCCGTTATAGTGGAAGAAAGCTCACTCTAGCTAAATAAGACATCGGCAGGCTAGATAATGATGGCTCCCTGGCAGTGACTTTGGGAGCTCCTGTCCCCTTCTGCCCTCTGTCACCCTGACTGTCCCCTCTGCCCTCTGTCACCTGGCTGTCCCCTCTGCCCTCTGTCACCTGGCTGTCCCCTCTGCCCTCTGTCACCTGCACTGTCCCCTCTGCCACCCTGACTGTCCCCTCTGCCCTCTGTCACCTGGCTGTCCCCTCTGCCCTCTGTCACCTGACTGTCCCCTCTGCCCTCTGTCACCTGGCTGTCCCCTCTGCCCTCTGTCACCTGACTGTCCCCTCTGCCCTCTGTCACCTGCACTGTCCCCTCTGCCACCCTGACTGTCCCCTCTGCCCTCTGTCACCTGACTGTCCCCTCTGCCCTCTGTCACCCTGTGCTGGTGAGGTTGTTGGTTTCCAACCCTACTTCTGATTTTTAGAAGGTGAATGGGATAGGGCAAGTTAAAAACAGTACAGTTTGGTGCTTACTGATATCCGGCAGGGTTTTGGTTAATTCCTGATACTCTGACAAAGTTGCTAAGTCGATGTTTACAACTTTCTACCAACATTTTCATTGCTTTTGTGGAGGAGCACCGGCCTCACACCATCTTTGCCGCTGACATCAGACCTGTCTTAAAGCACTCTGACAATGACACTCCTAGTTTTTAATAAACTATGGATATCAACAAGCAAATTTGTAAAACCCTGCCTGTCCATGCTATTCCCACTTCATTTGCATACCAGTGACTCTTGTGTATTTCTTGTTTTCTTGCTTGCTGACATGCACACTTGTGGTTCTGTGACAACCACAGCCTGGCTTTACTCTTCTTTCGTTATTTACACAGTAACAATACTGCCTCTTGGTCTTCAGAATTAAACTTTTGTAGATATGGGTTTTCAGCTTTGCTAATATAGGAAACAGTTCCCCTTACACTCTAAGCATGAAGTTTATGTCTAAAAATCCTAGGACAAATTCTGTACAGCACTGTTTAGGATCAAAGACTATACTTTATACCCCAAGCCATTTCCAGAGAGGTCATATACATTGTACCCCATCAATAATCTATGTATTTCTTTATAGCCTAACACCTATGATATGCATGTATATGTAAAATTATTAATGAAGTTGAATGTCTTATATAAAATTCCTATTATTTACTGTTGTCCTACAAGGAGGTACAACTACCTAGTGAGCTGTGGTTGATTAGTTCTTCTACGTCATAAGAAGTCAACATGAGATTGCCATTCAGGAGCATGTGAGATTGAGAGCACTGACAGATTATTTCCCTTAGCTTTAACTTGCATCTTCTTCTTCGTCACAAATTTTAAGGAGCTGAACGGCACACTTTTGTTCCATCAATAAAGCTAGAATTTTTAATGTTTTAGATGCTGGTAACATCTAGCTCTCAGATATTCAGTGAAGAATGTCTTCAGCCTCAGCCACAGTTTACAGCTTTACGACTTCCTCAGAATGTTGAATAGTGGGATACTTCACTGGGAGAAACGTGTTCTGAATGCTACATAGAGAATGTATAAAAGAAGCTCTCAGCACACACCATTGTAAAGGGCCCAAGGTTTCTTATTCAGGGTTTGGACAAATAAAAAGTTGAAGTTGGCAACCTTCTGCAGATTCTACAATGTATGTTTCCTCAGAGCCTAAACTGTGTTTTGCGTTTTCTCAGTTTAAGGCCAACAGCCCAGCAGTGAGGTTTGAACTAACAGGGGAGACGGATGGCATCTTCATGATAGAAGACAATGGGCTTCTGTATTACACCCGTACCCTGGACAGAGAAACAAGGGTCGTGCATCATCTGCAGGTGAGCTGAGGCCAGCGGGATGGAACTCCAGCCGCTGCAGCACCCTTGCTCCTGGATATGACCTCCCTCCCTCCCTCCCTCCCTCCCTCCCTCCCTCCCTCCCTCTCCTCCCTCCCTCCCTCCCTCCCTCCCTCCTTCTTCCTCCTCTCTGCCTCCCTCCCCTACCCCCTCTTTAAAGCCAACTACAGAGGGGTGTGGCTTTACATGGCCAAGGTCAGCAGATACCTGTACTCATTCAGGTACTGGGGCTGAACCCCAGTGAGAAGCCTCTGGTGTACACTGGTGCTTGGCTTGTGGCTGTTGTGTGGGCTCCACACCAAAATGAAGGCTGGGCAGAGCCACTGGGGCCCCTGAAAGGAACTGATAGTCAGAGGCCTACTGGAAACACCCTTTCCTCCCCCCCCCAGCTTCACAGTGGGCTCTGAATAGCTAGGAATGGCATTGAGGTAACTGAGAAAGAGCAAGCCAGCAGCTGTCTGTCACCTTCTGCCATGGGCTCTGTAGACCGACCACTGTGCCAACTTTAAGGAGTCACGGAATACCGTCATTTATGGCAGGATGTGCCACGGGTCCAATAACCTTCATGGCTGGGAAGTTGTTGCCATCATCATGCTGGCTTAAATGATTGGACCCCAATTTTAGCAGCATACAATTTGGGCTTTTGTGGTCATTAGGTCATTGGTCTTTTGAGTTTTAAGTTCCTTTAAGTGGCCTTTGGTCATGTGATCTGAAGTCCAGGGACACTAAGGACGTTTTCTTTCTTCACTAACAGCTTGCAGCCCTGAATTCTCAAGGAGGTGTAGTGGAAGGCCCAGTCCCCATCACCATAGAAGTCAAGGATGTCAACGACAACCGGCCCACGTTTCTCCAGTCAAGATATGAAGGCTCAGTGAGGCAGAACTCTCGCCCAGGTAATAGGCAGGGGCCTGAATATGTCTGTGGACTAATGAAAGGGTGTATGATAGAAGAGTGGGATCGTGTGGCTGACAGTTGTCACTGTCACTCCTCAAGAACTTACTGTCCTATGTAAACTTCACAGTGATCTGAGTGTGTGTGATTGGGCCTATTGCTCTGGATCAGAGTCCCCCATCCTTGGCCCTGTTGAGTCTTGTGTACTGTAGGATGCCAAAAACACTCCCCACTCTAAGCTGTGACAATAAAAATGTCTGTAGGAGGACTAGAGAGATGGCTCAGCAAGAGCCCTTGCTGCTCTTCAGTGGACCTGAGTTGAGCTCCAAGCACTCATGCTAGGTGGCTACCACTCACCTATAATTAGCTCCAGGGGGATCCAGTGCCTTCTGGCCTCTGTGGGCACCTGTATTTGTATGCACATATTCACCCTCCCTGCATAATCAAAAACAAAGGAAATCTTTAACGGCACTTCCAGAGCTTGCCAAAAGTACAGTGAGAGGCAAAACTATGCTTCCTTAGTGAACTCTCAAACACCATGCAGCTGTAGACTACCCAAGAATTGTCTGGAAAGAGGAGTTTGCTCTCCCATAGCTTGTGGGATGCTTAGAGCTGCTGTTGGCTCCCTTGCTTATGGCTCTCACCCAGCTGTGACCTGCTCTTTCTCTTGATATTTCCATCAGCTCTTATCAAGTAACTATTTGTGTTACTCAACCTTTTCCTTTTCTGTCTTCAGTGGCCAAGAGTAAGCATTCAGGGATAGCTGCACTGTCCCTGTCCTTTGTCCCTGGTTGGCATACATGACCAAAGAGTCATATATGCAGAATCTTCCAGATAGTAACACCTTTTTGCTCCATGAATCAAATTTTCTAGAGAAGTAATTTTAAAAAACTGGGGGGTTCAGGGCTTCTGTGCTAGCTTACAAGTTAGGGAGAACTTACATAATATTTTAAACCTGTGAGTTATACCTACCTAGTGGTATCCTTGGCAGTGTTTAATAGCTGTTTCTCCTGGGGTGAGTGAGAAACAGAGTGATTTGTGGCCTATTTCAAGTTACCAGTGCTATTAATACATGAATTTTAAGGACTTTGGGTCTAGTTAGTCTGTGTGGGTGTTATTTTTATTTGCATCATTTTTATAATCAACTTTATAAAAAATTAAAAGTAATTGACTCAAGAACTTCTGGAAAAGTTGTGCTCTCACGAGATGAGCCCAGTGCAGCATTGGTTACCATCTACCAGAACTTACTGGCTTAAGAATTAAAACTCTTATTTAACAATTTCAAAGAACACAGAGAGTTTAATGACAAAAGTAATTTAGTGAGAGAGGCAACATTGTTGGAATCTTTTCAAATTTCTTTAATGTCTGGATAAATGAAAAAACAACTGGGTTAATGGTCTGTTTCTACATTCATGATGCTAAATATGCTATTTTGTTTGAAGTAGAACATGACAAAAACTTAGTCTTACACACATCTGTAGCTTAGGAAAAGAACATTTTACTAGTAATTTCAGATATTGTGGACGTTCTCTGATATAATATCCAAGCTTGAAAAGTGAATTTTTCTTGCAGTTTGAGTAGAAATCATTAATGGTTTATTTTATGCTGTTTTACATTAAAACCTATCAAATTATCTTATTTTTAAATGGATCTTTTTCACAGGTGATTTCTAATGTCATAAACTTCTTGAAATATGCCCAGGACTCGCATAGGCTCCTGGACCAATGGACCATACTTTGAAGAAGCCTTATTGTAGGGAGAGGGAACAAAATAAACTCACTTTTCCACTGTTAAGAACTCTGCACTTTCTCCAATTTTATCTGTGCATCTCAGGAGGCAATCTATCGTGGGTATAGGTGGTTTAAGGTCTAACTCTTTTTCTGTGTGTGCTTTGTTACCAGGAAAGCCTTTCATGTATGTCAATGCTACAGACCTGGATGATCCAGCTACTCTCAATGGCCAGCTTTTTTATCAAATTGTCATCCAGCTTCCCTCAGTCAACAATGTTAGGTACTTTCAGATCAACAACAAAACCGGGGGGATATCACTTACCCGAGAAGGTAAGTAAAGGCCAGCCCCTTGTGAATCTCAGTCAGAGGAAGGTCTGTCATCTTTGGAGATGTGTCCTTTCTTCTCCTCCCTTCCTCACTTTAGGATCCCAGGAACTGGATCCAGTTAAGAATGCTTTCTACAACCTGGTGGTCTCAGTGAAGGACATGGGGGGCCAGAGTGAGAATTCCTTCAGTGACACCACATCTGTGGATATTACCGTGAGGGAGAACATCTGGAAAGCGCCAGAGCCCGTGGAGATTACAGAAAACTCAACTGATCCTCACCCCATCAAAATCACCCAGGTAGTGTCCAAGTGACACCTACAGCTAAGACCCGCACCTTGTGGTGTAGGACCTACCCTTGTGACCTTCTCATTGTACTAGATACATTTTACATCATGTAATTACAAAGCAAATTAAGTGCTCAAGGCCCTACATCTCTGGAGCTTACCGTCACTAGCAGAAAGCTTGCATACATGCAAATGTGCGAATGCACACTCACACACAAACTGCCAGAGAGGAGACTTCACTCACACTCACTTTAGGAGATGCTGTGGTGTTTTATCATTCACGTCAAGCAGTGGGAAATATGGCTGTTTTATCGTGGGTTGTGTGGCATGTGGTAAACCCTCAATACCTGTTGTTAGTAACAAGAGCAGAGAAACAGGCCCGTCTATGTATCAGGTCTGATACAGCACTCCTATAGAGGACTTTTTGTTGTCTGTAAAGTAACTCTAGGGTCTGGCAGTTACTTTTATCCCTGACATCTTCCAGACTGGAATATTTGGGGGAGTGCACCTCACTCGTGCACCAAGTGTCTGGACAGAATGACGACAAAGAGTCTGAGGCAGTGGTTCTCGAACTTTTGGGTCGAGACCCCTTTGGGGGTTGAACAACCCTTTCACAGGGGTTGCATATCAGATATCCTGCACATCAGATATTGACATTACATTCATCACCATAGCAAAATTACAGCTACAACGTAGCAATGAAAACAATTTTATGGCTGGGGGTCTCCATGACATGAGGAACTGTATTAAAGGATCGCAGGGCAGCATTGGGAAGGCTGAGAGCCACTGGTCTAAGGCATCCTCTATTGATCTCAATTCATCTGAATTGTGTAATCTAGAAGATCATAATACATCATGGTTTAGTCATAGAGTATTCCCGCTGTGAAGTACACATAAATGGATGTTACGTGCCATCAGAGTTCTAGAAGGAAACAACCCACGGGCTCTTCCATGTGTTTGCATGGCTTGCTTTAGAGAAGATAGCATTCCCTTGTCTGCGTGTTTTTAAAATTAGTTTAGGTTGAAACAAAGTTTAAATGTAGCTCAGTTGGGCTAAGAAATCACTGACATGCAGACAGAGTTGTGAGAAATTCCGAAGTGAGAACCAAGAAGCTGCTCATTGCCCTTTTGATCTGTTTGTCTGTACAATCCTTCCTCACCATCCACTCTGGCCATGCAGGTGCAGTGGAATGACCCAGGTGCCTACTATTCCTTAGTCAACAAGGAGAAGCTGCCACAATTCCCCTTCTCTATTGACCAGGAAGGAAATATTTATGTGACTCAGCCCTTGGACCGAGAGGAAAAGGACTCAGTAAGTAGGATGGAAAGTGTCACAGGCATCAAGACAGATCCTGTGTCTGCTTTCCATTGAGCACAAAATTAATTGTACATTAAAAAACCTATGTTCTAGATCCTAGATGTTTATGGTTTCTCAAGGACACAATAATTGGATAACTTTCCCACAAGCCCAACACATTTCACCCCCTCCCCACATTTCTCAGTTCTAAGTACATTTACATTAAGGCAAGAGTTGGTCAATGAAACAGTTAGTTACTTTTCTCTACCTATTAATGTGGACAGTGAAGGTGTCTTAACTCTGATCTTGCTATTACAGCACGTTTTCTTTGCAACTGCCAAAGACGAGAGTGGAAAACTACTGGCTTTCCCACTGGATATTCAGGTGAAAGTTATTGACATTAATGACAACCCGCCAACATGCCCATCTGAAGTGACTGTGTTCGAAGTCCAGGAGAATGAAGCACTGGGTAAGAAATGAGAGCTGTCCGATGCTGTGTGCCTGACTTCCTTACTGCCTGGCCTGGAGTATCAGGTAGCTCTGTTCTTCAGACCATTGTCCGTGTCTAGTGCAGCATAGACACGCAAGGTACCATGAGGCTCACACAGGCACAATGTTTTAGAATGAACAGTATCTCCAGTCCTCTTAAACTGGACCTTTTACAACTGCCACCATCACTGTTGTTTCAATGACAGTCATCTTCAGCACTACCCATAGTTCATCACTGTACAGCAGCATCCTGTATACATTTCCCCAAGGAGTGCCCCCCTTGCAAGATTTCCCCTTCAGTTTTCTTATTTGACTGCTAAACAACTCACTGAAAAGAGATAAAACCTCATGCAACTTGCTAAAAACTGTGATCATTTATACCCACAGTGTGTGTGTGTGTGTGTGTGTGTGTGTGTGTGTGTGTGTATGAGAGAGAGACAGAGACAGAGAGACAGAGAGAGGGAGACAGAGACAGAGAAACAGAGTGTCCAGGAGTGGTTTCTTCTGCTTTAGCTGTACAGTATCTACTGTGTTAATGTCTTGGAGCTATGGTAATAAAACACCATGAATATGAATCTCTCCATTCTGCTGGTGGGAAGTCTGAAGTCATGGTGGCAGGATGTTTTGGGGAGAGCCTGTCACCTCTTCTGACTTAAGCTGGCTTAAGACAGCAGTGAGCATATCTCTTCCTTCTCTTCCTTTCATCTCCCTGTGTCTCCATATTCTCTATTCTTGTAAGGGATTTCTCAGTAATCTAGCTAGTTATGTCTCCAATGTCCCTGTTTTTAAATAAGGTCCTCTAGGGAGGTTTTGGGTGGACATGGATTTCTTTGGTTGGCTAACTAAGCTCCCACAGTGTTCCACAAAGCACTCGGTGGACAAATGCAAGGAGCCAACGCAACTCTAAATGTCTTTGTTCACCACCCGGAATTGCTCCCCACATTTTCTAGGAAGCTGGTTTACGAATCACACGGAGCCAGTGTGAGTGGGTGTCCTCTCCTCTTCACAGGTAGCAACATCGGGCTCTTTACTGCCCACGACATGGATGAAGCGAACACCGTCAACAGTATTTTGAAGTACAAGCTTGTAGACCAAACCCCCAAAATTCCCTCAGATGGACTCTTTCTCATTCAAGAGTATGAGGGAAAGGTCCAGTTAGGCAAACACTCCCTGAAGAAGCAAGACAATCCTCAGTACAACTTGACAGTCGAAGTGGCTGACAGAGGTGAGTAGACACCGGACTTTCCTTCTACTTGAGATCCGAGTGGCCGTCCACATGGCAGTAGACTTTTCTGCTTCCTTTGTGAGCTGGAGAAACCCAGATGTGGTGTTTTCACAAGAACCATTGGTGTGGATCAGGCAGCATTTTGCTGTTTTTGGTCCTCTGAGAAGCAGGAGCAAGAGGGACCCAGTGACATCTCAGAGGGGTTGCCATTGAGGAGAAGCTGTGGTGTCATGGAGATCACCAGATAGTAACTCTGGCTTGCTCGTGATGGAAGGAGCACTGACGGGAATGTTCCAGACTAGGAACAGTCTGAGGGGAATTCCAAATGGCTGTCTGGAATTCTGCAGTGCATTATCCCTGGGGGTGGGCCTGTCTTTGCATCACAACTGGCTGGGGCGGCCTATGGGAGAGGAGGCATTGGTGCAAAATGCAGTGTTTGTCACAGTGGCACAGTGCGGCCACCAGGTTATTAGTCAAGTGGTTAAAAGTCTGCCAGGCACAGTCTCACGGCTGCTGTAACCACAAACCAGGAAAGCAAATTCTCTCTCCTACCCTCGCTTTCAGACTTAAAATATGAGAGTGGTGGAGAAACAGTCTTTGACATGCTCTGCCTTTTCCTGTCAGCTTCTCGTCAGAGCCTGCTGCACAATGCCAGGAGGCGTTTTCCCTTAACCCTTGTAGACTGTCAAAGCAGGTAGCTCTTAACCTCTGTTGGGGCAGAGGAGTCGTTAAGAATCTCATGGAAACTTCCCATTCCCAAACCCATTTCCACACCCACAGACAAATGTGTTACTATTTCTGGGGCGCTCAGATTCCTCTGAGGTAACTGTTTCATGAAATAACTGCAATTATTTTCTGAGGACCACAGTTTGCATAGGTGTGGAAAAGAAAAACACCTTAGCTCATATGCTTACGTCATTTTTTGCATTGTTGATAATCCTGGGAGAACTTGAGTTTAGCAGGCTCTAATACAAAATGCCTGTTTGTCAAGTATCCAGGAAAGCTAGTAACTTGATGCATAATGAGGTTCTGATGCTGTTTAGTACTGTTTTAGAAGGTACAGTGAGGTGAGTGTTAATAACTCTCCCTGTCCATGGTGAAGTGATAGATCCACACTACTGACCGCCCTTGCTTTCGGTATCTGATCATTTGCCTTGCAGAAGTACCACACAAAGCATCAGGGTGCACAGATGAACAAGAGCCGGTGTCTGCCCCAGCTCTCTTTTTGTCAAGAAAGGCAGACACAGAAGTCAACAAATTGTAGGGGCGCATACAGGGGAGCCCATGGATGAGGGAGAGAGCAGGGAAGGCTGCCTGGAAGGTTAGTTTATCTAACTCCCAAGGTTTAGGTGAGCTAAGTTTTGAGGACAACCTATGGAAGAGTGGGAATTCCATGTGCAAAGTCATCAGAACATAAAGTAGTTTGAAAATGTAAGCGTATAGGGGAGCTGTAGAAATAGCTCAGTAGCTATAAGCTCTTGCTTCTCTTCCAGAGAGACCCTGTTTGGTTCCTAGGACCCATGGTGAGTGGCTCATGGGTCCCTAGTTCCAGAAGATCCAACATCCACCTCTGATTCCTACAGGTATCCATTAAACAAGCAGGGCTGTGTCACACACATTTGTAATCCCAGTACTGAGAAGTGAGAGACAACAAACTTTTCCTTAGGGCTCAGTCCCAGTCAGCTTAGTCTATTTGTTATCTTCCAGGCCAGTGAGAGAGCCCATATCAAGAGGAAAATGGTGGATAGCCCCTGAGGAATGATACCTGAGGTTGTCACACACACACACACACACACACACACACACACACACACACACACACACGAGTACATGTACTTGTGCATACATAGATAAGAAGGAAGAGCCTGGTAAGCAGGAAACTCATCATATCCCAAACAAAGCTTTTGCAGAGACTAGAGCCAATAAGTTCAGAGCCCTGTACCAACCCATTTCTATTTGCAGATGCTCTGGGGATCAGCTCCAACTTTCATCAATGTCTGTCTGGTTATAATCAGATTAGAGATTGTATTCAGCTTCATGGCTAATGCATTGAGCACAAGCTCTGGGGTGAGTTTGTGGGCAGATCAGGGAGGACGACAGCTGGAAATGGAAGGGTTTCTCCACAGGGGTGTCCAAAGTAGTTTAAAGGAAGCACAGTTAAGGGAAACTAAGAAGAGGTTTGATGGGGGGGGCGTGGGGCATGAAAGGACTTCAGGAGCCAGGAAGACCTGTGCTCAGACAGGGAAGAGGGACATGCCACCACTTTCTTCTTGTCCCTCCTCCAGTCTCCTGCCAAGTGCCCATTGGCAGAACCTAGGTGTTAGTGGAAGAACAAGGACATCACTATGAGGTTCATACAGCCTGGATCCAAACACAGAGCAGAATAAAAAGCTAACAGGGCTCAGAGAAGACAAGGGGGTACTGGCCCTACTACTAGTTGTGTGATCTTAAAATCTCTACATCCTGGCTTCTGCATTTAAAAAAAGGAAATGAGGATGGAAATAGTATGTACATTATGAAGTGATTATGACATGAGATGAGTAATACATGCAACACCTGTCACACGGGGCTTGGTACACATAGAATGCTAACATTTGTGTTAGGATGAGGACCTTGTTAATCCCCACACTGTGTAGGCAAGCTGATGGGACACAGAGGCATACAGTGACACTCCCATGTTCTCACATCTCTGATTTATGGAAGAGCCAGAATTCAAATAACGGAGTCCCAGTATACCCTTCTCCTCAGTAAATCACTTTCCTCTGTCATTCTGGCTTTTTTCCTAGACATCTTCTCACAGCACACCTGCCAGCCATGCTCATTACGGACCTAGGATCCAACTACTAGTTCTAACTGGTCCTTGACTTGTCAAGCCACCCTCAAAGCCTGTGCCATTTCCCAGGGTTCTGTAGGGCACCTTTTAGTTTCCCTTGGAGGTGAATTATGCTGCTTTCTCTTTTACTCAGAGGAGAGGAACTCTGGTAGACTTGAGGCTCTCTGGAATGCTGGGGGTACTGATGCTGGCCAGAGGTACTCGGGGAAGGAAAGGCAGCCTATGGGATGCTCGGCAGTATTGTTTCAAGGGAAAGATTTGCTTTGAACATAACATTCGCAGCAAAGCAGCCATCCTGCGTGCCAATAAAGCCCTCCCTCGGATGGGGCAGTGGAAAGCTCAGGAACCCAGCACTTCAGGGCCCAGTCTGGCTTCCACCTCCTCTTGATGACCTGTGGGTGAGGTGGGGAGCGGAGCCGCCTCCATTCACAGGAACCGTGCAATTGCTGTAGCGGCTGTCACATCATTTGCCAATATTTCCTTACCAAGTCCTGATACCAATGCATGATTTCCAGTGAGAATTCTGTGGTGTGACTTTGGTTTTCAGATTTCAAGACCCTCTGTTCTGTGCAAGTCAACGTTATTGATATCAACGATCAGATCCCCATCTTTGAAGTATCAGATGTGAGTAGATATCACCATTTGTTTTATCTTTGTTTTGATCATATTACTGTTTAAATAAAAACACAGACAAAGTGCCAGGTCAATGTACCAACAAAAACCTAGTGTCCCTGAGGACTCATGCTCAGGGACACTAGGATGTACTGCTAGTATCTGGGAATGTCTGTTTATAAACCCCTGCCCAGAGATTACTTATTCCAAAGGCTGCTTAAAAGCTACAGCTGCAATCTTCTTGAGATTGAAAGATGAATGGCAGCTTATAGCTTGTCACAGATTTTTGCATGTAACAGACAGTAGGTAGAGTGCTACTTGATCTTATCCAAGCGTTTGGAATAAAATATTAGCATCAGAAATACTGGCAACTTTAACTCATTTTGTATTTAACCAAGTAAGAGGAAAGGGAAAGGAAAAATGTTAGTCTCTGGCTTAGGTCTGAAAAGAATGTGTTCCATGTATTTGCAAGAATTAGAATTGGGCATAGAGTAAGAAATATCAATATAAATGGCATCAAGGCAAATGCTGTAGTCATGATGTGACATTATCATCATTCCCTTAAAAGGGATGTCTTAATTTATTTAGCTCAAGGGAGAGTGAAGACCATTTGACTAGCTTGTTATGTTCGCAGTCAGTTTTGAGGCAGCCTGGAGCACTCTGATGGTGTCCATAAATCAAAACAGGGGCACAACTGTGACAAGAAGGGAATTGATTTATGGTAGGGCTCAGAACCGTAAGAAGTGTGATGGGATGTGTCTTGTCTAACAGGCACTGAGGTTAAGTAAGCATGAAATAAAGAACTCATTTCTTCCCAGCCTCTACCCCCTTGGGCATGGACATTTTATCCCTTCTTAGTGTTAAGACTTCCCTGCATTTTACCAGACAGTGGTCAAGTAGATTGAGCAGAAAAATTCTGCAGTAGGGAAGTTTGAAAGCTTGGAGATGCAACTTGGCTGGAGAGAAAGTGGGCTTGCTCATTCTGCTGCCAGTGTCTTCTCTGGCATTTTTGAGATCATGATGCAGGGAGAGTGGGTCTCGGAGCTTCTGGGGAGTCAGGATGCTTTATAGGAGTATGAGGAACATGGGCTTTGGAAGTTTGGGTTTTGTCATACCATGTTGGCCTGGATGGGGTTTACCATGCTACCTAGCCCTGGCTCCTCTGCCAAACGTCACTGGTAAGATCTCTGCCTCCTAGGGCTTTATATGCATCGTTTCTCTTTAAACAGTAGGTAGGCTGTATTTTCCCATCAGACAAGCGATCAAGTCCATATTTAAAGAAATGTTATAACTACATCATTCAACTGACAAATGGCAAGTTTGGGATTTGCAGCCAACTCTGATTTCAGTGTTTTGAGCTCCTAATCTCTGTTCCTTAGTTGATTCAAGAATTAGAAGTGTCTGTCACATCAGAGACATCTCACATGTTATGGCTATTTATATCATTATTATTCAAATATTTGTAGCTCTTAAGTATGTTGGATGCCAGGGGAAATCTATTTTATAATCCTTCTAGAATGTCTAAGATGTTGTGTTCCTTGGTACAAATAATGTTAAAACCAGCTGTCACATGTTCATCAAGAGGAAAACTGTGCTGGGTATTAGTGTCAGCTGTGACCTCTGTCCTGAACCCCAGAAGCTTGCCTTGTGGCAATTATGCTCAATGACGGTGGCCATTCCGCTTCCTTTCCCCTCCCCATGTCTTCTTCAGTATGGAAACATGACTCTCTCTGAAGACGCGGCTGTTGGATCCACCATCTTAGTCATCCAAGCCACAGATGGGGATGAGCCCCTTACCGGCAGTTCTAAAATCCTGTACAAGGTTGTCCAGGGAGACCCCGAGGGGCGACTGGAAGTCACCACAGATCCCCAGACCAATGCAGGATACGTCAAGATCAAAAAGGTAGAAAGCCACTTAATGATTATTTCTTATTAATTAAATTTATTCATTTAATTTTATATCCTGACTGCAGATTCCCCTCCTTCTCCTCCCATCCCCTCCCCCACCTCTCCTCTCTCTCCCCCCTCCCATTCACTCCTCCTTTGTTTCTGTCTAGAAAGGGGCAGGCCTCCCATGGGTATCAACAAAGCATGTCTTAGCAAGTTGTAATACTAAGCTCCTCCCCTTGTATTCAGGCTGGGCAAGGCCAGTATGTGGAATAGGTTCCCAAAACCCAGCCAAAGTGTTAGGGGCAGCCCCTGCTCCCACTGCTAGGAGTCCCACAAAGCTACACAAGGGACCTAGGTTGGTCCCATGCAGCCTCCCTGGCTGTCAGTCCAGACTCTGTGAGCTCCTATGAGCCCAGATTAATTGTTTCTGTGAATTCCCTTGTGATGTCCAACAACAACAACAACAACAACACACACACACACACACACACACACACATATACACATTCTCTTGTACAATTCTTTCTCTCTCTCTTCAGCAGGATTCCATGAGCTTGACCCAATGCTTGGCTATAGGTCTCTGCATCTGTTTCCATCAGTTACTGCATGAAAGCTTTCTGATGACAGTTGGAGTAGTCACCAATCTATGAGTGTAGCAGAATACTGTTAGGTATCATTACATTGACATTTTTTTCTTCAATCATGTTTGGTTCTGTCCCAGGTCTCTGGATCACCCAGTCTCTGAGTCCTGGCACTCCCAGCAGTGTCAAGGGTGGGCTCACTCTAGTGGTGATCAGTTATTGCTTGGCCACTCTTAAAATCTCAGCACCACCATTATGCCCCGCCCCCAACACACACACACACACACACACACACACACACACACACACACACACACACACACACACACACATACACACACATACCATAGGCAGGACAGAATGTAGTTCAGAGGAGGTTGTATGACTGGGTTGGTGTTCTAATTCTTCCACTGGAAGTCCTGCCTGGTCACTGGAGATGGCACGGTTCAGGCTATGCATCCACTGTTGCTAGGAGTCTTACTGGGGTCATCTTTGTAGATTCCTGGGAGTTTCCCTTGCATTAGGTTTCTACCTGGCCCTGAAATGCACCCCTTTTCAGTCTTCTCTTTTAGTATTCTTCCCCTCTTCTCACCCCCCCCCGCAGCCTGATCCCTCATGTTCCCATTCCCACCTGCCCCCAGTCCACCCACAAAATCTCTTCTATTTACCCTTCCCTGGGAGATCCATGCATCCCTCCTTGTTACCTAGTCTCTCTGGGTCTGTGGATTGTAACATGGTTATCCTTTACTTTACAGCTAATAACCACTTATGAGTGAGTACATACCATGTTTGTTTGTCTTTCTGGGTCTAGGTTACCTCACTCAGGATGATTTTTTCTAGTTCTATCGATTTGCCTTCAAATTTCATGATGTCGTTTCTTTTAACAGCAGAGTAACAATCCATTGTGTAAATGTACCACATTTTCTTTATTCATTCTTTGGTTGAGGGGTATCTAGGTTGTTTCCAGTTTCTGGCTATGATGAATAAGGCTGCCATGAACATAGTTGAGCAACATTTAATGATTATTAATACAGTAAGTGAAGATTAATTTACTTGTGATTGTGTCAGGACCGATAGGCAGAGGTGACACAGTCACAGTGACCTCTCAGGTTTTTCAGCGGGCTCCTGGCATATTCTGTCATTATTGCCCCCTGAAAGAAAGTCAAGGTACTAGTTGTAATCTGTCATTAACTGACCAAGTATTTAGTGTTGCCAGTTGGGATTCACAAATACAGTATGAGCGATTTTTAAATATAAACATGTCTCACTTTATATTAAATTTTTTTACAAAACTTTTATATTAATACTTCTTTATCTGAAATCAAGGGACTCTATATATTTTACTTTCTGAATTTGGCAGCCATGTGGCAGTAGGTATGGAGTAAGCATATGGGTTTAACTCCCGCTTCAGGTGGAAAACTCTTGTACCAGCAAACCCGGCACAGACTGTTGTTGAATAGGATGGATGACTGTGGGTTTTTCAGGGTTTGATAGACAAGTTTGTTTAGTAACCCCTGATTTACCCTCACCTTGCAAGTGGAGTCCTAGCCTGTGGGTACCATTCTGGGGAGTCTAGCAAGTGAGGTCTGGTCACTGCTCTATAAAAACAAACAGCAGAAATGGTGGGAGGCAGGAAAGGATTTTAACCAGCAGTTATATTGGGAAGACAGATGCGGTTAGGAATTCAGTCCATCTTTGGAGAACTGACAGAGGAGGAGGCAGGGGTGAGAGACATGCATAATTAAGTGGGCCCAGTCACCAGAGGGGACCATCTGGTACCCATGTGATGATATCTCCTGCTTGGGGCTGATCTGTTTGCAATGGCTACTGTTTCTAGATTCCAAGGTGGCTGTGACTATAGGGTTATGACAATGAGTGACACTTTCAGATGCATTTTTTGGATGCTCTGAAACAGGATGCTGTAAAAAACTGGCAGGAAGACACTTCAATTACTCCTATATTTGTGCTTTGAATGGGGATGAGATTTTTAGATTCATTTCTAATTTTTAAATGTGTGTGTGTGCGTGTGTGTGTGTGTGTGTGTGTGTGTGTGTGTGCGCGTGTGTCATGAAGGCCAGAACAGGTGGAAACCAAACTAAGGTCCTCCACAGACGTTTAACTGCTAAGCCATCACTCCTGCTCCAGGGGTGAGATTGTAGACGCATGCTCTTTAAGTGATTGACATGACCCACTCAGAGCTGAGCAGGAAGCTGATCTGAAGTTTTAAGACAAAAGAGACAGATCAGAAATGGGGGGGGGTGACAGGCTTTTATCCTGTTTTCAGCTAGTTTATGAGTCCAAATGAGGAGCAGTGCTTTCACAAAAAGTAGCTTATGAGAATCGCAACTCCATCCTTTAAGGCATTGCCCTGCTTTCCCCCTTTCTATAGAGACGAGAGTGTTGGAGATAAAGCACTAATTCACAGTTCCCATTTCTTTCTCCAGGGTCCCTCCAACTTTCATTTGTTTCACACACAGACTACTCCTGTGCCTCACCATGTACCCAAGTCTTGAGTCTTCCTTCTGTAGCTGCTTAATTTGTATTAGAACCCATAACGGGTTTACCAGATGACTCATTTGGAACCATCACAAAATATCATTCAATGATATGCGCTTTCCACAAGGGGAGTGTGGAGCCTTCTGGTTAAATGGGGGAGAGGTGCAACAGAGAATTTTCTATCTGAATACGAAATGTTGCTCAGTCTTGTGAGTTTGGACACTTGTTCTCAAGTTGGTGGTGCTGTGTTGTGAGGTTTTGGAACCTCCAGGGGGTAGAGAAAGCGATTCACTAGGGCCAGAGCTGAGAAGTGTTGTAGACCAGCCTTACTTGTTATCAATTTCTTTGCTTTCTGACTGCAGACATGATACGGTCAGCCACACCTTCCTTGCCATGCTGGGTTGTGTCTCTCCTTAAGCCGAGAGCCCAAATGAACCCGTTCTCCCTTACATTGCCTCTTATCCAGTATTTAGTCACCACAACAAGATTGCACGGTTGTCACTTATACCCCATCTGACAAAGGTACGAGCTCAGCACCTTCTGTGGAAGTTCGACATTTGGAGGAGATTCCCTCACAGATTCCACTTCTATCCCTGGCTGTCTACATGAAGACCAAATCCTGGAAAGCATGAGGGAAGGGGTGGTTTCAGAGTCACGCGTGGGTAACCTGCAAGACTGGCGGCATGACTCTCCTCCTCCTCCCACCACTTTGGGGGTTTAGGGCAAATGGGGGATGCTTGTCCCAGTAAACAACGGCCATATGTCATTTTCTTCTTTGTGGTTATCTTATCATGTGCCATCCCAGCTGACTTGACTATGTGTGGTGATTGGATCCTTCTGCAGGGGAGAGGTGTAATTGTCTGTCCACCTAAGTCTTATTTTGTATGTTACTATACTTCCCATATCTAGAACATTGCTTGACACATGGTTCATGGAGGTATCAAGTGTTGCTTGACTGAATGAATAATTGAAATTTGTTTCATGTACAATTACTAATAGACACATAAGCAACTGCTGAACCTGCATGTTAGGGCCAGAAAGCCCCACAGATATCCCTGTCTCTAGCTACATACATGACCATGCCTAGATTTTTTTTTAATGTGGGCACTGGAGATTGGAGCTCAGGTTCTTGTTCAGCAGGTGCTATTATCCACTACGCCATCTCTCTACCCTGACCCATAACAGTTTTGCCAAAGCAAATTACACTGATGGCTTATATCAGTTACAGACTCCATATTATAGTTTCTTAAGAATGGCTTGGTCTTGCTTGTACGTTCTTGTTTATGTATATGCGAGAGTCCAGTCAGCTTCAGTTGCTTTTAAAGGTCAATTGTGTTTGGGTGTGATTAAATACCCGCTTCAACCAGGGGCTGTACCACAGCCTCTTCAGAGAAAAGCCCAGAAACCCAGGATTCTGAAAAGCCTTCTGTGTGATACTTTGATGTTTACAGTTTATGGAGATGATCCATCTTCTCTGAGCCCCACGGGGCAGTGGGTGATCATGTTCTCATGGCTGAGCTGGTGTCAGTAATGAGGGATGGTCTTCGTTACTGTTTATTATTTTAGTTATTCCTCGTATGTCAGTATTTCTCCTGAGACCTCCTTTCTTGGAATTCAGAGTTTGCTTGGTTTTTATTTTTATATAAAAGCTTGCCCATTCCCCACTATGGGAGTCCTTTGGAATTCTTGAGTCATGGATATTTTAACTAGCACAGGCATCAGCTGGAAATCCAGGATGCATATGGCTTCTGTGTGTGAAAAGTGAAATGTCCTGTCCTGGACACTTGCTCTCAGCATGTTATCTATTTCCAGGTTGAATCTAAACTCATGGTTTGACCGTTAAGGCAGTCGGGTACAGAGGGCAAGTCTGGACAAAGGCAGTCTTCTGCTTATCCGATGAATGTGTCCCCATGGGTCTCTTGACTTGGCTTCCAGTGCTATGAAGGTCTGCATGGATGGATTCGGCAGTGTTTGTTCAGAGTTGCTCATCTATGCCTTCTAACTTTTTGTTGTTGCGGAAGGTCTGGCTGGGCAGTAGTCAGATGTGCAAGTTAGGCAGAGAGCACAACTGCTCAGCAGTAGACTGCCCCCTTTGCTTCTTGTCCCTCTATTCAATAGGCATCGAGGGAACACTTCTGAAACACAGCCTGACCTTGCAGGTCAAGAATAAAGTCCCATTTCTGCTTGATGTCTAGCATTCTCTGTCATCTTTCTCATTTTGCCTGTGTGGTCTGCTCTAGCACCTCAGGCTCCTCTTCATCTGTAGACGTGCGGTCTCATTGCCTTACCCCTGTAACTCTAGAACTGTAGTGGCGGATGAGAAAGTTAGGCTTGTGTGGTGACAAGGATAAACAGGCTTCCTTTGCCTGGGTGTGTAGACAGTTATAATGCCTACATGAGTCTGGGTTAGGGTCACTGTTGTGGCAGGCTGACACAAAGCTGGAGTTCCGTCTGTTTTTGTCTTCTTGTCTTGACTTCCTAAGGGGTTCTTCCTCCCTGATGGGTGTACTGGGCACCAACCTTAGTTGGACACTATTGTTGTCACCCTCTGGGATTTGGAGTTGCTCCCAGGACTCCTGAGCACAGAAGGGTCCTATTAGGTTATTGATAATTATATCAATAAGCCATTGAGAGCCCATGCCCATCAGCCACTGGGCACTTACCTCTATGGACAGCCTCTCCTTTATGATTAAACAAATGTCATCGATTCTTATATTTTACTTTGAGTGACCATGACTTTCACGATTCTTTCCCTCAGGTTTCTCATTGTGTTTATGAATTAGGGGTTGAGCTGCCAGAATATGTGCATGGGTAAGGGGTTTCTTGGGGGAAAGGGTGGTCTCTGCAATTTTCTTTCCATCCAAACTCTCAGGGATCAAGCCTTATCTATGAATCCTCCAACTGGTAGACTATGGCTGGGCACGGTGTGCCAGGGAGACGAGAAGTAAGCAGAATATGCTACAGCTCTTCCTCTCACAGAGCTGATGGCCAGCGATGAGACAAAATACAAACAACACAGCTAAAGCCCTGGCTTGGACCCCGTGTAGCTGCAGAGAAGGGAAAGCTCGTCTGTTTCAGGCTCTGTGGGGGAGAAGAGTTCCTTCAGATGTCAGAGGGGCAGGCTGAGTCAATGTGATATGTGTCTGCCCCGCACTTCATGAATGGATATGACTACCTGTGTAACTGGTGAGAAAATGATATAAGGTTAGGCCCAGCTGTCTCAAGTCTTCTAGAACTATACACCTGCATAAAATCATGGGTGCTGCTTCCTTAATTTATAACATCCCTTCGGGCTTTGCATTGGCCCTACCTAGTTTCCGAGGTTTTGGATCCTTTAGAGAATTTGACTAGCTGACTGGAGCTGGCACGGCCTCTCCTAGAATGTCTTATTTCTGGTCTTGGGTTCTGCGTTCCCCATACCCTGTGGACATCTCTGTTGCATGAATGTTTTCCTAGTTGTTGTTGTCTGAGGAAAGTCAAGGTTTGCTGAGGGGATGAGCAGAGTGCCCCAGGGTTAATGAACCTGAGGGGGCTGTGCTAGATTCTCTCTTCCGGGACAGTCCATGAAAACACTCGGCACCCTGACAAGACCTGAAGGAAAGCTGTGGTTTTGTTTTTCCCTATGGTTTTCTTGAGAAGTGGGTTTCAGTTAAGACTGTATACGTTTCTAAAGAAATGAATCCTTTATAAGGGAGCTATTCACTCCAAGGTTAATCTCCTCTCTTTCTTTCTCCTCCACAGCCTCTTGATTTTGAAACTGAACCAGTTACCAGCATTGTGTTCAAAGCAGAAAACCCCGAACCACTGGTGGACAATGTACAGTACAATGCTAGTTCCTTTGCCTCGTTCAAGCTGATTGTGACGGACGTGAATGAAGCACCTGTGTTTCCCCAACGTATATTCCTAGCAAAAGTCAGAGAGGATGCTGCCATAGGCACTAAAGTGGGCAATGTGACTGCCAGAGACCCCGAAAGCCTGGCTGTGAGGTACGGGACAGTAGGGCTGGGCAGGCCTACTTGTGTGTCGTAACCACAGCCAGGGGCCTAAGAAGGGCCGGGAAGGTGGAGCAGCAGTGTGTACTGGCTTTAGGAGCAAGCCGTGGAGCAGAAATCAGAAGGAAAGACTCTGGTCTTGGTTCAGTGTTTCAGATACGTGGCATCAGGCGCCATTCTGTCCCCTTGATGCAGGCCTCAGCTGAGGTCTGGTAAAGTCAGGAGGTGCCCACCCCTAAGATTGGGCTGAACTGTTGAGGTCCTAGGGAAAGTTCCTGAGGGAAACTGGACTGGAGTTGTGGTGAGGTAAAAGTCTTACAGGCCAAAGGCATTTTCTTAGATGTAGGGATCCCAAGATTCCTCTCTTCCCTCCTCTCTCTGAGAACTGATCTGGGGCAGCAACACACACTCCTCATTCCCAGAAGCCCTAGTGCTCACAGTGAGATGCTAAACAGTGTGTGGATATTTCTGTCTCGCCATTCTCAATCTTTGTGTATGTGCAACAGCCCCCACATACATTTCCTCAATTATATACAATGATTAGTTTGCTTATAACATGCACATACACACAAAACCTATATAACTTGAAAGATCACAAGGTTAGGAAGCATAGACAGGACCTGAACGCAGATCTTCCGCTTGTCTTGTGTAATATTGTCGAGAATGTATATAGCTAATAAATACCTCAGCATGACTTAGTTGGTATAGGTAGTTCCAAAGGACAAGCCTTTGTTTCTCTGCACATTTGAATGAAATCTTACATTCTATTGAGCTGTCCTATAGACACTTAGGTTCAGTTGCATGGACTTAACTGTCTTACATGGAGTGTATTACTGGTTTGTTTACTATAGCAAAAAGTATGAGGCAGGTAACTTTATTTTTTTAAGGGCAGTTTATTTAGCTCATAGTGCCAGATATTTATGGGCACAGCACCAGCATGGGCAGGGTGTGAAGGCATTGTGTGATTGTTAGCATAACAGTAATATCAGCAAAGGGAAAGAATCATATTTGTAGACTGGAATCTGGAGTCACTGAGGTCTCACAAGCTCTGCCAGGGCTTGTCCCTAATTGACCCAAGGACAGCCCATTTGGCCCTACTTCTCAAAGGTCCTATACATGACAAATTTACCCTCTGAGAATGAAGCTTCTAACATGAGAACTTTTTTGAGGAGGACAGAGTTGCAGTCAGAAGACGAGGGGGCAAAGGGAGCTAGAGAAAGGGTGTTCTAGAAAGTCTATTTCTAGAAGGCAAACAAATGAGGAATAATCAAGCCAGCCCAGAAAGATGCAAATAGTGTGCAAGAGCTAACTTTACAGACCCCAAAGCTGTGGGCTGAGAAGCTTAAGTCTCCAGCTGGGTAGACAAGAGATCCCATCAGCACCAGCAGATCCACTCCAGCCCAGCTTCAATAGACCCTGGGCTGACACAGATCCTGAGCCCAAGTGTTTCTGACTACTTCCAGTGTGGTCCAAAGCATTGCTGTTTAGAACCCAGCCCTTCCCACCAAACCATGCCTAACCCATCCAAGTCAACTTGTGTACTGATTTCCACAAGAGAGTTTAAAACAAAGCAAGTGGGTTGTCCAGCTCTGATTCAGATTCTGCCTGGGGGGTCTCAGTTCTGTCAGGCGGAGATCCCAACTACTAAAGAGCCCTCATTTATCACCCACACACAAACATGAATACAGCACTTGCATACACAACATGCTAAAAATATACTGAGAAAAATTAATTCTACAAATATAATTTTAATCATTCCTATTTCTGGACATGTGGGCTAACAGAATTTTAAAAATTATAGACAATCCTTTGAAGTCATGCATGCAAGCAGTTGTTTAACTCCTATTAAATTTCTATTGAGCTGACATTTCCAAGAGTGGGAATGAGTGGCGTACAGCTATAGATGGTCATGATGTGACACTCTACAAAAACTTACTGGTTTTCCTCAGACAAGACTTGTCTCTCTCAAATTAATCTTTCTATATCTACCAATGAGTTCTCTTGAAGGCACAGTTTCAGCCAGGTCACCTCTCCCTCAGCCCAGCTTGATGGCGGCCTCTGGTCCTATGGCCTGGCTCTCCCGTCTCTGTGGCCTCATCTTTCCTGTCTACTGTTGTCCACACACATCCATGTGCTGTGCACCACTCCAGGGTCTTCTAGGTATCTCTGTTCTGGCTTGCGTTGTCTCTGAGGCACCCTTCGTGCCTGAGCCAACATCTCCTCCGGAAAGGCTTCTCTCCGTCCAGTCAACCTTGTGATTGCAGGCACTTACACTGCGTCTTCCACACTTTACTGGAATTGTATGTGTGTCTGAAGGCCACTCGTCAACTCTTGCCTTGGTCCTATCTGATGAAGTTGATGTTTCTTCAGTGAGGGTTCACTGGGCCACCAGCAGATCAGGTCTCCAACACTAGCTGCTCAGGTTTCCTTAGGGGGTTGTTGTACTGCAAGGTTTCAGAAGACAATGACTTCAACTTGAAATCTTTGATTACTGGCAAAGTATAACTTTTCTGCCAGAGTTTGTCACTCTGCCATACATAATAAAACAATCCCAGAACCAGGCTGTAGAGCAGTGGTTCTCAACCTTCCTAATGCTGCCACCCTTTAATACAGTCCCTCATGTTGTGGTGACCCCCAACCATAAATTAATTTCATTGCTACTTTATAATTGTAATTTTGCTACTGGTATTAATCGCAGTGTAAATATCCAGTGTGTTTTCCAACGGTCTTAGGCGATCCCTGTGAAAGGGTCATTTCATCCCCCCAAAGGGTCTTGACCCACAGGTTGAGAACAGCTGCTGTGAAGGCAGCTCCTCTTCTAAAGAGAGATATAAACGAGATGCTGACTCAGTGATTCTGCTCCATGGTATATGCAAGTGGTAATGGTATATCACCGTATAAATGCACAGACTATCTTTCATTTCCATTCAAAGTAATTAATTTTCTTCTGCTCTTCCCTTCATGAAGTTACTCACTGAGTGGCGATAAGAGAGGTTGGCTTAAAATCGACTCTGTCACCGGGGAGATATTTAGCGCGGCTCCGCTGGACAGGGAAACAGAAAGTGTATATCGGGTACAAGTGGAGGCCACTGAAATAGGTGAGCAAAGCCAGATTATCAGTAAATTGTCAATAAAAATGAGAGGGAGGGACAAGAGAATTGAAGAGGTTAAAAATCACTGCTGAGAATAACCATAAAGCCAGGCACAAAAGTATGTGTGTGTGGGTTTATGTGTGTGTGTGTGGGTTTATGTGTGTGTGGGGGGGTATGTGTATGTGTGGGTTTATGTGTGTGTGGGGGTATGTGTGCATGTGTGGGTGTGTTCAGCCCTTAATGGCTGTGTTAGAGAACACTTGTGCCAATCTGGGTTTCTACTAGGCAGTTTCCCTGAGGCTGGCAGGGTATCAGGGATGCTGCCAGCTCTGGCTCCATGCAGGAACCAGAGCCTCTTGTAAGAAAGTTCTGGAGTTCTTAGCTAACCTCCCTCACTACCTTCTCAAAGGGGATTGAGGGCTTCTTCCAAACAGGCAGTTAAAGGCCCGCTCAGTGATGCTGTTTTGGAGCAGAAGGTATTTTATGCAGGGCTGTCCACCAGAAAGCTTGTGCAGTAGTGACCTGGCTGTCTATCCTTAGGGATGCTCACTCAGCGGGTGTTGGTGACCTGGGTTTCCGCTGTGTGGATGACATGGGATGGAGTTCTGAAAGGGAAGACAATTGCATGGATATGCCAGGATGTTTGAGCCAATCCTACACCATCCTTACATCCTATTTAATTCCGTTGTGACACAAGTTGTATACAGGCTCTGAACATGGGCTTCCAGGAAAAATTTCAGATCAAAATGAAGATAACTCACAGGAATAGTATGCTAACCAGCAATAAGGCTGGTAATTAAAACACTGAATATTTTTAAATGGAATTTTCCATCTTGCGGTAGGAATTCTGTTGATCTTACGCTGATTCAAGAACTCTAATTAGCTAGTAATGTATCTGTTTAGCTTATAGAAAAGATGAGTGAAACAAATTACTACCAAACAAATACAGTTTTAGACCAAAAAATAATAAACTTTAAAAATACAAAGCCCCAAATTAGAGGTGGACACAGGGAGCAGAGAAAGGAATCATAAAAATGTATGGGAAAAGATGGAGAAAACCAAAGTGTCTGTCCCTGGTCCTGTTCAGCTCCTGCAAGCAGACACAGACTGCAGGCTGTCGCTGGAGGGGAAGCGGGCAAGGCCTTGCTGAGACAGGCAGCTCTGTCGTTGTCACCGGCTGTGCAACCCACTATCTGGTTGCATATGCTCCACTGGTGATTTAAAAGCTTCCAGTAATCTGAGGGAGGTTTCTGGCTAACCCTTGAAGCCATGTCCTCTCCTCTAACCTCTGAGGATCAACACTTCACTTTGCACCAGTTTCCTAAGTGGCTCTCACATTTTGAAGTTTCATGGATTGTGACCGTGAGCCAAAACCCTGTTCCATTGCCAGTTGCTGGCACTGAAATCATAATGTAAATAAACCAAACGACTTCAAGGACATCAGTGGACTGGTCTTTGGTTAAAGAACAGTCAGACAGTTCTGTGAAGAAAAGCAAGAAAATGAGGCTTCCTGGAATCAAAGCAGGATCCAGAAAACAGCTTAGGGAAAGGGAAGTAGAGTCCAGCCGTTGTGCGGTGTCTGCGTGAGGTCAGGCGAGGACAGTCAGGGTCAGCTGTACCACAGGATGCCTCCTGTGTGCTCCCGTTCCTGACCATACTTTGTGCATAAAGAAACCAAGGCACTGAGAAATTGATTTACCCAAGAGTGCACGTCTACCAATGAGTCGTATAGAAGAGGCCATGGTTTTCACTGCTACAGTGTAACAGATGACATGTGTGCAACCGTTTGCTACTTTTGTTTACATGTGAGATCTTCACAAAGCCACATGCTTCTCAGCTGAAAAGAGTGGAGATCAGGAAATTGAGTCGGGATGCTTAAGGCAGCCGTAAGTTATGGAAGTTTCAGCTAGTAGTCTCCGGGACTAGAGACCTCTCCAGTGTGCACTAACTGTGTGAACTTAGCTAAGTTACACAGCTTCTGAGTGTTATCACACACACACACACACACACTTTTGTTAGTAGTGCCATTTGGACATGTGAAACATTTTTAGTGTATTGTGTGTGTGTGTGTGTGTGTGTGTACATGTCAAAGATCAATTTGTGTGGGAGTTAGTTCTTCCTCCACAAGGCTTTCAGGGATTAAACTCGAATTGCCAGGTTTGGCAGGAAGTGCCTTTACCCACTGAGTCATCTTATAGGCTCCATTTAAACATTTTAACCAGTACTAAAATTAGACCTGTAATTCTAAAAGCTTCTTTCTATTACTTTAATAGACCTGATTGCTTAAATATTGATTTTTTTTAAGGAAAGAGAGACATGTTTCTTCTGTATGAAGGATGATGACAATGCTTGGAATTATGTTCTAACCTTTCAATTTCTCAGCTGGGTCCTCCTTGAGCACCACGGCAGAGTTCCACCTGGCCCTCACAGATGTGAATGACAACCCCCCACGCCTAGCCAAGGAGTACACAGGCCTGTTCTTCTGCCACCCCCTCAGTGCCCCCCAGAGTCTCGTCTTTGAGGCCACTGATGATGACCAGCTGTCATCTTGGAGACCCCAGTTCACGTTTGCCCTCGGCAGTGCAAGCCTGCAGAATGACTGGGAAGTTTCCAAAATCAATGGTGAGTTCTCAAACGTACAAGGAGAAAAATCAACGACGGGTGAAGGAGTAATGGTTCCCCCCCTTTGTCGGCTTTACAACTCAACACAGAATTTTCTTCTTGCTCCAAGAAAGCAGTTCATGCCCTGGACACACACAGGGAAAGTCTTCAAAGGCCCAGGCTTTGTGGGAAGGGAAGCTGGACACCACACACATTCTGGTTGGTGTACATCGTTAGGTGAACGACTTAAACTCAGTTGTAAATTTTCAGTGAAGCCTGAGAAACAGATTTTATCATAAATTTTTATCAAAACACAATTAATATACAGTAACTTGCATTTGATCAATGTGTACAAGTTTACAAGGATATGTGTGTGTGTGTGTGTGTGTGTGTGTGTGTGTGTGTGTACATGCATGTACCTTATCAGGAAATTGGATTTTTATAGCATTGTCTTCTCAATTTTAAAGATTTTTATTATGTATGTGCACCCTGTGAATGTGCACCATGTATGTGCAGTCAAGTGACTATAGGGTCACAGGAGGCATCGGGTCCCCTAGAACTGGAGTTACAGTGATTGTGAGTTAATATGGTGTGCTGGGAACTGACTCTGGGCCTTTGAAAGAGCAGTAAGCACTCTTAATCCTCGAGGCACGTATCCAGCTCTTATTGCAATATTTAAAAATATTAAAACCAGAGTTATTGATTTCCTGTGACTTTTAAAAGTGCCTGCTCTTTTCTGAAGAGAAACAGAGAAGGAGTGAAAGGAGGAGAAAATGCAATAGGGATGTATTGAAAACAAAAAGAGAAGAAAGAAAAACAAAAGCATTTTTTACCTAACACAAGCTCACTAAAAGAAGATCCATTCCGTGTTAATGTTTATATAGGACAAGTGGCTACAGTCAAGGTGCTTTGCTTTTAATAGGGCTACCTAATTGTTCTAACACAACTTATTTAAAATATCCCTTCAGCATGGATTATCTTGAAAATTTCAGAAAAATTCAATTGGAAAAAAAAATCCATCTTACAATACTATATTGTTTTGGTTACTATGAACCCATATAAGACCAGGAATCAGGTGGTATCATTTTTCCAAAGTTGTTTCATCTGCTCTAGGTGTTTTGTGTTTAAGTATAGATGTCAGCATGCCACTTGCCTATTTCTATCAAAAGAGTCTGTTGACATTGAGCTTAGATTCCTCGAGTCTGTATGGGTGTTTGGGGGAAGGGGTGTCTTCAATGCATGAACATGATGTGTGTCTCCACTTACTGAGACCTTTAATTTCTTTCAGCAGCATAGCTTAGCGTTCAGTGTGTAGTTCTTGCAAAAATGATCACTCTTTTGAATAGTGTTGTAAGATTTATACTTCTATACATCTCTTGCACATAGACACACAATTGGTGATTTTTAGATACTACTCTTGTATGTCAACTCATTGACATTGTGTAGCAATTTTTATAGTCTTTGAATCTTGTTGACTTTGTAAGTTATGTTGTCTATAACTGACAGCTTCACTACTTCCCTTCCAATCTTGCCTTATTATTACTAGCTAAAGCTTTCAATAAGGGGAGTAGCAGTAATGAGAACCCAAGTGCTTGCTTGTCCTCTTATTGTAGAGGGCAAGCTGCCCATCCTCACGGTAAATATATTTTATAGGTGATCTGTAAATTTGATACTTTGCCTTTCTAGTCACAACTCACTGAGAACTGTTTCCATTTGTATGAATAAGTTGGAGAGGTTTTTTTGTCAGCAATGGTGGGTTATATTGGCTTTTATGTTAGAACAACTGTATTACTGGGATAAGGTCTGTTTGGCAATGAAATGTTTTATGCAAGTTTGATTTTAATTTCTTAAAATTAAATCTTTTGTGCTTATATTAATAAATCTATAGAAATTGACTTGCATTTTTCCTTAAAATACTTTTAAAAATCAGTTTTTTATATCAGTGACTGCTAATCCTAACCTATTCAATATGGAAATCTACGTGTGTAAAATTGGCATCATTATCATTTCTTCCTTAAAATTTGGGAGAATTTATTTGCAATGAATACATTTGGCAACAGAAAGCTGGGTTTTTTGTGGTGGAAAATTTAACTGTATATTTCATTTCTTTATTAAATAAGTCTTTTCAATTATATATTTCTTCTTGGTTGAGTTTATTAGTCTGTAGTTTCAAATATTTGCCTAGTTCATTTTGTTTGCTAATTTATTGGCATACAGTAACTCATAACATTCTATTCTCAATATTACTAGATGTGTAGTGATATCAGTTCATTCTGATGTTTGCAAGTTTCTTCTTGCTTTCCCTAGTCAAGTACGGGACAAGTTTATTTGTTTCGTTCAGAGCTTCAGAGAACTAGCTTATGGATGTGAGCTTGCTCTGTGCTTTTGCATGTCCTTGCCTGGTCCTCTGCTTTCCTTATTCTTCTGCTGCGCCTCCCTTGTTCTTATTTTGCACTTACCAGGGTGGAGTCTGTGCAGTTGATTTGGGGTATTCTTTCTTTGTTAAGACAGGTGTGTGGTGCCACAGACTATCTCAGGGTTACTTTACCTGCCTTTCACTTCATCAGTAGTTTACAAAACCACTGAATTGTCTATTGTGTCCTATTTTAGAAATGTCCTAAAATATTTGTCAAATGTGCGTTCATTTTTTCCTGTTTTCTCTGTGTGCTTTACTTTGGGTGGTTTCTATTTCAGTGTCTTCGGGCTACTGAATTTTCTGTCATATTCTATTTCCTGTCTATTCCATCAGGCATATTTTTCACATCAAAACATTTTAGTTGTCAGTGCTACCTACGCATTAATTTGGGTATTTTTCATAGTGTTCATGTCTATTTATAATATTCTCAAGTGTCCAGCTTCTTAAATAGATGACTATTTTCTTATCCTATTTTAATAGATGACTATTTTCTTGTCCTCTATCACATATTTACTTGGTTAGTTTTTCTTATTATTCTATTTTCTGTCATGTTGGCAAATTTTTATTAAATATAGGACTTTTTTTAATTCCTGCAAATATTGAGTTTTATTCTGGTTAGCAATTTGAAAATTCTCTGCTGGCCTTCCCTTAGCTGAACTTAGCCCCTAGTAGTTCAACTGGATATCCTCATGAGCTACAATGTTTTTGGCTTTTGTTCTTGGAGCAGGAACCCATCCTGTGTGAATCCAAATGACTGCTCCATTGTTATAGTTTTTTCCTTTTTATTAATTCTGTGTAATTGAAGCTACAATGTGAAGTCAAGCCTGGGTTCCTCTTCCCTGCTGAGACACTAAAGAGCTAAGAGCAAGCTGGAGGCAGTTGTAGGACTTACGCTATTTATCTTTCTTCCTTTAACGTTTTCCTATATTTATCTGTTATTTTCATTGTTTTTGGTTAGATGCTAAACCTAGATCCGGTTATTCCAGTTTTACTATGAATGAAAATTTAAGCCATAATAATTAAATGCAAACACAGATTTGGAAATTTTCTGAGCATATAGATGAATATATATTCATCTGCTAGCTAAAACTTGTAAACAAAGTCAATGTTAGTGAAGCTTTAATACTGACAGCCACTGTCACAACAATGACAATTTTGAGTTACTAGATAAATAAGTACCCAGCCACAGCTGAGGCAAATAACACTGTCCTTTGGCTTCAACTTAATGAGTGTTCTTTCTGTAGTCTATTTTATGGCTTGTGTTTGCCTATTTGTGCTTTCTACTGAAGATTTTTTTCTCTGTAGACAGCACTTTTCCCTCTTTTGGAGTCATTCTAGTGTTCCTAAATAGAAAGATGTTGTGATGTGCATGGATGTATTTTGTGCAAACATAAGTTATAGTGCTACTTACTGGCCAGGAGTTCAAAGTCATAGTCTTAATACATGTTAATAAGGTAGCTTTCAACAGAAACATGCAGGAAACTAGTTTACACATTTACTGCTTGATTAAAATGTTGTGATTAAAGGCCACAGAAACTTAAACCCTGTATTTCTCTAAGGAACCAAAGTTCAGCATTCATTAACTCAGTGTTTAGGACAAATTTATAGAATTGCTGTTCCAACAAGAAACCATGAATTCAAAACTAAAGGATAGTTTTATTTTTTAAAATCAGTTCTTTAAGAATTTTGTACAATGTATTTTGATTGTATAATTTAATGCTATTTCCACTTATAAAAATAATAGTGCAAGATTCTCCCCCTAAAACTCATGACATATCTAGTCACAGGTTCTTGGTCCCAGGACCCAACAGCAGTGCTAGATATGGGTTTTATCTCTTGAAATGGTCTTCAATCCAATCAGATAGTAGTTGGATACTCCCCTGACATCCATGCCAATATTGTACCAATGGGCATGTCTTGCCAGTTTTGTTTCTATTGTAGTACATAGAGTTCACAACTAGATAATATTGATAATTATCTTTCTCCTCTGGAATTGTACATAGTACCTCTGCTTATGAAAGCTATTCAGTAGATATTAAAATTCCAGATGAATACTATATTGATTTCTTCATGTTCTATTACTTAAATATGTGCTATTTTGAGCTGGGCGTTGGTGGTAGAAGCCTTTAATCCCAGAACTTGGGAGGCAGAGGCTGGTGGATCTCTGTGAGTTCGAGACCAGACTGGTCTACAAGAGCTAGTTCCAGGACAGCCTCTGAAGCCACAGTGAAACCCTGTCTTGACTCCCCACACAAAAAAGTATGTGCTATATCCATCAATAGGATCTCACTATTAAGTTCTGGATAGTAACCAAGGGCCCTGGCAATGGCCTGTATTTTCCGTTAATCTATAAGACATCACTGCTCAGCAACTTCCACAGTGGTAACACATCCCTGGTACTTGGATTTTTATTTGTTGGCCTGTAATGTCCAGTATGTTTTGTGTTATAACTATTTAAAAATCTTTATATGTATTTATGTATATGTAAGAAATTTTTATAATAGTAGGTTTCTATATGACTTACAAAATTACTCAACCAACAAGCTAATCCCAGATTCACAAATACCAACACAGAAGCAAAAATAGCATGAAAAAAATAATTTATTTCTAAAAATACAAGTTTCATAAATACAAGTTTAATTCTCTGTCTGTAGGGGGATATCTACAGACAGAGAATTAAAAATGAGGATTAAAATTATGTTCAAACAACTCTAAGACAAAGAGCTGAATGAGACAAGAAAGTCTATCTAAGAATGAATATAGAGTTTGAAGAAAATTCAACTGAATGAAAATAAAAACCTCAGTGGAAAGCCTCACTAACAGATGGATCATGCAAAAAATAGAGTCAGGGATGAAGACAAAGTAGAGGAGTTAGAAAGAAAGGTTGATGAGAATTGTTTTTAGTGACTAGAACACGGGAGAGTTTTGGGATACAGAGAAAATACATTAAATTTATAGAAACTAGACACATTACAGAATGATAATGGGTCAAGAAGGAAATCAAGAAGAAAAAAACTAAAGATTTCTATAATTAAATGAAAAAGAAAACACAACATACAAAAAAGACAGTTCTAGGAGGATAGTTTATAATAAAAAGTGACTTTATCAAAAATAAAAATAAAAAAATGAGATTGATATACCTTAGAAAAGAATAACCAACATCCCCAAAAAGTAAATAAAAAGATGGGATAAAGAAATGACTCAGTAACAACCAAAACCCCCAAAAGTAGATAAGAAGATGGAATAAAGAGATGACTCAGCAATAACTAACACCCCAAAAGTAGATAAGAAGATGGGTCCAGAGATGACTCAGTTGCTGGGGATTGGTGGCTCATGCTTTAATCCCAGTACTCGGGAGGCAGAGGCAGGCGGATCTCTGTGAGTTTGAAGCCAGCCTGGTCTACAAGAGCTAGTTCCAGGACAGGCTCCAAAGCTACACAGAGAAACCCTGTCTTGAAAAACCAAGAGAGAGAGAGAGAGAGAGAGAGAGAGAGAGAGAGAGAGAGAGAGAGAGAGAGAGAGAGAGAGATGACTCAGCAGTTCAGAGTCCTGGCTGCCCCTTTGGGGTACTGGGGTTCCATCCCATCACTGAATGGCAGCTCACAGCACTCTGGGGAGTCAATCCCCTCTTCTGGCCTGTGTTCACTTCATGAATGTGGTACACAGATATAAATGCAGCCAAAATACTCATATATAAACAGTAAAAAGTGAAAAAAGACAGGCAATGAGAATAAAAATCAGGGCTGAAATCAATGAAGGAAATGAAAAGGTAACAAGACTGACCTTTCTGACCTTTTACCAAATTACCCAAATCCATAAAACTAGATGTGGAAAGGAAACATTACAATAGACACTGAGGAAATTCAGAGAACCTCAAGGACATACTTAAAAGAGAAAATCTGTTGTACCAAACTGGAATCTAACAGAAACTGATGAATTTATAGCTATATGGCTGGCTTACCAAAGCTACATCAAGGTAAAATGAATAAGTTGACCCCTGACATCAAATGAGACAGAAACACTAAATAAAAATCCCCCTACAACAACAAAAAGTGCCCAGGGCCAGATGGATGGATTTACCACAGAATTCTACAAGGCCATTGCATAACAAACAGCAATACTCAAATTATTCAACAAAATTTTTAAAAACTGGGAAATTATATTTTTATGAAGCAATTATTACCATTATTTAAAAAACAGTCAACTTGGAAACCAAACTCAAGAACATAGAAAGGCACATTGATCAAATCTGCTTCATTCCAGACTTTGGGGATGGTTTCACATATGTAAATCAATAAGCATCATATAAATAAACTCAAGGACAGGAACCAATAATCATCTCATTAGATGTAGAAAAGGTCATTGACAAAATCCAGCATCTTTTCATAATAAATGGTCTGGAGAATCTAAGAAAACAGGGGACACAGTCTAACTAACAGTACAGGGGACTCACTATAACAACGGCAATATACAGCAAGGCCACAGTCAACATCATGCTAAGTGGAGAAAATCTTGAAGCATTTTCATGAAAATCAGGAACAAGACAAGGATGTCTTAGAAAGAGCAGTAAGGCAAAAGGAGATACAGGTGATAATAATGGGTAAGGATGAAGTTAGAGGATGTTTTGGTCTATTTTTAAGGTAAGTGACATGGAAAAATATGTTTAGTTATGCAAAGTATCACCTATGTTGATTACTTCCCAGTCTATCTGATTATATACAATGCAAAAATGAGCTTCATTTCTACCTGGCAAGGGTTCTGAGTTCGTTTTCTCCCTGTTCTGACAGGCACACATGCTAGACTCTCCACCAAGCACACAGGCTTTGAGGAACGAGTTTATGAAATCCCAATCCTCCTCAGTGATGGGGGACAGCCACCCATGGAAGGCACTGTTTCCTTATCAGGTAGGCACTTTTTGTAGGCAACGTGGGATATCTGTTACCATGGACAGGTTAAGGAGCGCTGTCTTTAAAGTGGGATAGGCAATTATTCACTGGAAATTTACCCTACCAAATACTGTTGTGCTTTTTAGTTACATTCTGCCAGTGTGTGGAAGGAAGCTGTTTCCGGCCAGCAGGTAGCCATGATGGGATACCCACGGTGGGCATGGCAGTTGGTATACTTCTGACTACCTTTCTAGTCATTGGTGAGTATGACTTCTTGAAGCCAAAGATTCTTGTCCCTGGCTTGAATGCTCGCTCATCATATCATCTTACTTAGGGGTTTCCTAGCTTGGGTAACTAACTGAGGATTGTCACAGTCAGTCACATCAGAGTGTCCTGGTTGGTAGATACTATGTCAGAAGCAGCCCTCCTCCCTCCTCCTGTCATTTCTGTCCCTGGATTTCCATGCTGACATTTATATCATAGGACCTTTGTATTAATCAGCCTTTTTTAAAAAATTTTTTGAGTAACAAACACTTGAGATAATCAACTTTAAAGAATGTTCCTTCTGGCTGGTGGTTTCAGAGGTTTGAATTCATGACTGACTGGCCTGATGGTTCAGAGACCAATGGGAGCCAATGAGAGAAGAAGGGGCTAGGGTCCTAGTGTCCCCTTTGAAGGTACGTCTTCAGGAGGACTGGGGGTAGTCTCCTGGCCTTTAAAGTTCTTACCATCTTCTGGTAATGCTGAATTGGGAACTTTGGAGCAGTCAAGATGGAAGCCATAGGAAGCTCTACGCACAAATTGCTATATTTTGAGCCTATTTACTAAGGTTTTTCTGAAGGAGAAAGACTTGCAGTTTATGCTCTGTTGTGTCAGGCACGGGACTAGTTGGGTTGGTATTGTGATGAGGCCCATATGATCCTTTACTTAGAGAGGTCACGGGCTCTGCTGTCCACATTGGAATAGGAGTAGATACTATGACACCTGAAATGTTGCGAGTTTTGCTTTGAGTTTTTTTTTAATAACTCTGGACCCTGGCTCTTTATAATCCAGAGTAATTCCATATCATCATAGCCTTGATGGAAAGCAGTCCTCTTTTGTAGTACCTTACCATAGTCATGCTGTCTCTGGTTAAGTAGAGAGATATTTTAATATTCACATGTACATGACTGGGTGGCTTAACACAGTCTCACACTGTTTCCTGGAATAATTCCCATCTCCTCCTCTCTTTAAAGTCTTAACTATTCCCTTTATATCTAGACATTTGTTCTCATGTCCCATGCTGTCGCACTGGACTTTAACACAGGGCTAGGAAAGCACTCTCTTTTCCTCATGCTCTTCAGTGCAAACTCCTCACGACATGGGTGACATGGAAGGGCCTTGGCAGCCTGGCTGCTACTCACCTTGCTATGCATGCATGGTGACCAGGTGGCCTCCTTGAGGACCACTGTCTGCTGTACACACTTCATACCAACAGGGATGAAGTCCTTTCTTTTGCGAAAGGGACTCTCTTTGTAGTTAATTCTGGCCTTGAACTCAAGTAATCTTCCTGCCCTCGACCTCACTGCTGGATACATGAGATGCTATTTACTAAACTCCTTCTGCTTTTATTGCTTTCATTGCTTTTCTTACCCTTCTTGAAAGGATTGTGTTCATGCACCAAATTGCAATTTTCTCACATAGTCTTATTTCTGTGATCCTAAGTTAAAGAATGGGCAGTTTTGAGAACACATAGAAATAGAATTAACAGGGCCTTTTATTTCATATCTTTATTATTTCCAAATGGAGGAGTGTGAGATATTTCAAGATGGTCATCTGAGCATCTAGTCTTCTCAACCATGGTGCCTCCTGTAATTGCTGATGAGCAGTTTCTTTAAAGTAACTCCCCTTTTTCCTAGAGGACTCTGATAGTTCAGATGGCTGTCAAAAAACCACAGTATGATCTTGTAACAGTTCAGAGAGGGAAGAGAAATCAGAAAGGGTGGGCAGTCTACTCAAGGTCCCTCGGGATGACTGGCCTTGTTAGGAAGGTATCCATGGTGTGTATCTGCCAAGTGTCTAACACTAGGCTGCATGGCAAAGCCCTTGCTGTGAAATTAAAACTGTTTTTGAGTCACAAAATGATGCCTGTTTCACAGGTACAATGGAAGCAGGTTCTAGGTGGGTGGGTAGGCCTGACAGCTCACTGCTCCTTATTTAACTCCTTTCTTTGGGGAAAAAAACTGGAATCAATATTTTGGTACCTACAAAGTTCAGACACTCTTCTGCATGCTTTTTCCCAGAGGAGTTAGGACATTGGCTCCTCTGTTCCCCAGTAGAGATCCTGCCAGCTTCCAGATGAGTTATTTCTTGGCTGCTTCCTACATACTGATAGCAAATGATCCGGTTACTTATGCAAGAGAGCCAATGCCCAGAGTTCTGTACTCATTAGAACAGCAAAGCACCATCAAATCCCACAAATGGAGGTTCACAGGTCATTCTCCATTCCTGCCCCTGAGACACTGTGACTCTGTTAGTACATCTAAAGACTGTACTTGTTTGACTCTCACTTTTCTCTTTCCAGGTACAATTTTAGCAGTCGTGTTCATCCGAATAAAGAAAGATAAAGGAAATGATAACGTTGAAAATCCCAAGTCCCCTGAAACTAAACCCCTGAGAAGCTGAATTTGAGAAGAAGTGGTCAAGATTATACACCAAGTCCTACATCAGTGCCGTGGCTGTTTAATTTCACCCAAAATGTGAACTATAATTGGTGGAGTTTATGCATCATGTGCTATATTAAGGCCCCAGCTGTCTAATCTCACAATTTTATCCAAAATGTGAACTATAATTTCTTTGATAGCCACTCTTGTCCTGTAATATTTTATACTACTTTGATATTTTATGTACTGTAGACATTAGACTTATTTTCCATTTTCCCATGACATTTTCCTCTTCCACAAAAGCCCCTTAGCTACATAATCTAAACTTTCTGCTCTGGGACAGATGAATTGATTATGCTTCCTGTACGCTGTTGCTTTAGAGACCACCAGTTACCCATCACAAACTTCCCAGACTCCATGTCTTCTTCGTCTGTTCCGCTGTGTCCCTTCATCTTTTGGTGTTACGCTGAATTAGAATATGTCACACAGGAGAGCAAAGTGAAGCCTCAGGGGAAAAAAAGTGGGCAGCTTTGTTCCTCAGCATAATCGGCTTTTCTGTGTTACTAACCATCTTTAATGGAGGTCCTCCAACTTGGCAATGGCGCAGAACCTGAGGAGGTACCGAACACAGTCACTCTGTTTCCAGAGAGACTGAGATTGACCTCATAAACTCAGGCATAGGAACTGACGAGCAGTCTGGGTTTGCTCATTATTACATGCTTACATGCATGCTGCACGTGTTTTATTTGTATATTGAAGTTTTGTTATATATTTATCATGTGGAGGGAACAAGAAAGCATGGAAGTGGTGAGGAATATCAGAAATAAATGTTGGTTTCTTTTGTTTTTATTTCCCTGATCTGCCTGTTTCATTGTGAGTATGTGTGTAGGTGTGTGTGTGTGTGTGTGTGTGTGTGTGTGTAGTGTGTGTGTGTGTAGGTGTGTGTAGGTGTGTGTGTGTGTGTAGGGGTGTGTGTGTGTGTGTAGGTGTGTGTGTGTGTGTGTGTGTGTGTGTGTGTGTGTGTAGGGAGCAGGTAGGTCCGGAAAGCAATGGCTGTTGCTTCTCAAGTTCTGCCATATGGAGTAAGTATAAGAGGAAGGCTGTACAAACTTTTGTCACTGCATACCTGAGCTTCCAGGCACAGGGGACCCTGATAGGCCCTGTCCAGACTTCCCACAGATGAACTTGGGACTTGGGGAAGGCAGAGGCACTGCATCTGGGAACGCCATCCCTCCACCTAAGAGATTCTTCATCCAATAGTAGCCTGGATCATGCTGCCACCTCTAAACCCGTGAACCCCATGCTGCAGAAGAGACACTGGCTCTCTCCCATTCCCACTATTCCCTGATAGGTCAGAGCCAAGCAGCCCAGTGGCCATGTCTCTCTTAATCAGAAGAGACTCTCAGACATGATCTTCTCACATGTACTTGGAGAGGTGGCCATTTAATATCCTTGACAACGTTTTTAAAAAGGTAGTTTTATAATACAATTAATCTCTATTTTATTGATTTATCCATGTTTGTTTTTCACCCAGCATGGCATAACTCCATTTAACATTGCTGAATGACTTTCTAAGGACCTGCTGTGTGTCAGTCATTTGTAGCTATCTGGGCTCTTAATGCCCAGTGGTTTTGGGGGGTAAGGACTTAGCGATGATGGCTAAAATACAAAATGTAGTTCAGGTTACCATGTGTTACCTGTCCTGAAAGGCACTGGTTTCTTTGGAGAGAAACTAAAGGCTCCCTTTCCCGGGAGTTCTTCACTCTTAGAGTGCCAGCCGAGGGGAGGGTGGGGCAGGAAAGTTACAGGAAGGCAGGCTCCTGCCACCAGTGCTCATCTGACCCAGAGAACATCTCCATGTTTGTCATCACAACAGCTGGGCTCATGTGGGTGGCTAGCATCCAAGGCTCTGTTTGGAAGAGAAGGGGCTGTGTATAGGGGAGGTGGGAACAAAAATAGCACACGTGTTTACCCTGCATTTGTAGTTGCTCTTAAATTAAGCCCAAGACTGAGAGGAAACATTGGTATTTTGGTAGCACAGAACAACACCGCCTCTCTGGCACTTGGTCAAGAGTGGATCCCAAAGGCAGAATTTCCTGGGGCCTCGCTCATCACAGCCAATGGTGGTCATGGTCTTGGTTCATGGGGGACGCTGAGAATCAGGGAATGTTGTTTGAGTAGCTAGGTCAGGATGGGAGGGCCTTGGCTAGTGTTCTCTCTTCTGTGAGGAGATCTCTGATGGCTTCTCGGAACATAAAGAGAGGGAGGAGGGATTTGTGTGTAAACAGATATACCTAGTCTGTACCAACCAAAGTTCTAGTATAGTTTTTCTTTAACGTTAGCTCCCAAAACTTGCACAGTATTTAAGTTCTACATGGCTGTCTATCACTCTTCTCAGGCTGGCTTCTTTGGCAGGGCTAGCCACACCCATGCAAGAAACTTTGAAATTGTTACTTGGGCTCCAGAAGGCACCGTGTGTTCTAAAAGGTTCTCTAACAGGTCAGTCTGGACCTTCAAGTAGTAGAGGCTCTGGAGAACAAGAACCTACAGAGAAAGAGCCAGAGAACACACATAGGTCTTTAGGTATAGGTGGGAAGAAGGGTCATCAGGGGTCTTAGACCATCACATAGTTCTAAGATTGAACTAGATAGATGTAGAGTCCTACTATAAAATGGTCTGCTATGGGACCACTGCTAGGAAGAAACCACTCAGCTCCAGGATGACTGTGTTTTTCTGGGAGTATGAAGCCTTGGTCCCAAAGTTATAGCCACAGGAGGCCACTAACCTGCCACCAAGGTCTGCCTGTCTGTCTGCCTGTCTGCCTGCCTGGCTGTCTGTCCTCCCTCCCTTGCTGTTTTTTTTTTGGAGTGTGTGTGTGTATGTGCACGTGTGTGTGTGTGTGTGTGTGTGTGTGTGTGTGTCGTGCATCTGTGTGCTAGTGCACGTGTAAAGGCTAGATGTTGACATCAAATGTCTTTCTCAATCATTCTTCATCATATTTGATACTGGGTTTCTGACTAACTTGAAGCTCACGGATTGAACACTAATACCCAGAGAAACCTCAAGAACGTACCCTTCTTAGAGCTATTTTGTAGGTAAGGAATTTGTGGCAGAAAAGTTAAGTGATTTCCCCAAAGTATATAAGCTGGAGGCCAGAATAAAGATCAGGCAGTATGGCTTAGGTTTCAGATGTGATCTATGCCATTGGCCCACCTTTCAGAAGGGAGTCGATGAGAAGTCCCACTCGTCCCAACCATTCCTGTCCACGGAACTTTCCATTTCCTAGGAAAGCCTGAGTGAGGGCTGGATGTGGCAACATAAAATTGAGGGGAAACTCTGGAGAGTCATGCTGAGGTGAGTGGTGGGCAGGAGTTTCTGGAAGTACCAGCATATGACTGTCACCTGTCAGTCAATTCTATTGCCCAGTTCGCTGAAGCAAAGCTCTGTGCTGGGTTCCAGGACTGCTGAAGTCTGGGCTGAACACCAAGAATCAGTGAAGGATAGTACTGGGTCCTTTCGCTGGCCTGCCTGCTCTGGTCCTCTCTCACCTCCTGCCTCCTCCCCATTGGTCACCAATCCAGCCCCTCTGCCTGTCTGCTGGTTTGTTGAAGTCATACTCTTTCTGGTTCCATTCAATCAGTGTCTTTGCCTGGAATATTCTTCCTCCTTCCAATCTCTCATGTGGTTGTTTCTGTTTTAGATCTCAGTATAAAGGCTGTCTTCCCAGACACATTCTTCCTGTCCTTTTCCAGGATAGCACGTTGTGAATTTCTTTCCTACAGCATTCCACAGTGTGTAACTACATCTTATATTAGTGTGCATCTTTGGGTCAGGGGCCTTGCTGACTGTTATCTCTCAGTGGGAAGTATGGTGCCTGTCATATACAAGGAACTCTAGTGTGAAGTAACAGCTGGCTAAGTTTATCTGATTGCAGGGCTGGAGAAACGGTTCAGTCTGTAATGTGTTTGTCATGCTAGCATGAGGACCTGGATTTGATCCCCTGAACTCATTAAAACATGGGCATGGCTGTGTGCTCATTATCCCACCACTGTGGAGGTAAAGACAGCTCAGCACCAGCCTAGCCTAACTGGTTAAGTCCAGGCTATTGAGAGACCCTGCCCCAAAAAGATGGTACTTAAGGAACAATGGCTGGCATGTGGCCCCACAACACATCTGCACACACATGAACACAAACACAAAGAATCTAATCATAGCATCAAGATGTACATATGACACAGGAAACAATGTGCCAAACAATTTAAAGAATTTATGTGTGTTAAACTGCCAGGATACCTTACACTTGTAAACACAGTGGGCAGATTCCAGAATTTGGGGTGCCCAGAGTGGAAAGGCCAGCGGGTCAGGGTGTGGGGGGAAACAATCCCACAAGGGAATATGGCTAGTTTTCTGTTCCCTGTGGGTTTGAGGCTCCTTCTTTATTTGGATCCATCCTGACTTCCATGGTCACCTGTGTCCTCCTTTCCCTGATTGGAACATGAGGCTAAGACCCAAAGACTTATTTGGCTCTCTGCAGTGTAGTTCAGGGACTCCCTAGAGGGAGCTTGGAATTGAGCTTGTGTGAGGTCCTTGGCACAGGAAGAGAATGATCTGGAAACACGATTATGGGTGTTCTCCTTACTTATGTCACATGACAAAGAAAGTTCCTGTGTCCAGAAAAGACTCTCATGTGGCTGTATTTTGGAATTCATTCAAGTTTTTAGAAATACGGATAGACCTCACCAATTATAGTCTATTCTGTTAGTCCTTTTTAAAAAATTCCATTTCATTTCAACACAGAAATGTGCTTCTCTGGTTTGAATTATTTCCCACATCATAGATTTTGAAGGTAAGAAAAAGTCAAGATTTGTTATCTGTGCATGTCCTGGTTGGTGCTCAGTAGACAGTCATTCCCTTAGTTACCTGGAGAGATGCGTCTTCATAGCCCTCCAGGTCTTTCTGTCACTATTTGTTCGTGTGTTTGCCTCCCCTGCCTCAACCCATCAAATGCACATTCTGAGCTGTTGAGGGTAGGAGGCCATGTTCATTATCTTTGTGAGTTTTCTGTGGACCCATTGTGAATCTTTATTTGGTTTTTTCAGGACAGGGTTTTGTTGTGTAGACTCGACTGTCCTGGAACTTGATTCTGTAGACTAGGCCAGCCTTGAACTAATCGAGATCCTCCTGCCTCTGCCTCCTGAGTGCTAGGATTAAAGCTGGGCACCACCACTGTCCATGGCAGAATCTTTAATCTGATAGCTGCCTGGTTAACACTGAGTGAAACTGGAGGATTCCAAGACTTAGAGAAGCTCTGTTCTTTGCCCTTTTGACTATGGCAGACTGTTTCTAGTAATTTGAGTTCAAAGTTGTCATCATTTGCTATATATAGTCTGAATCTGAAGTGTCCCCAAAGACCATGAGTTGAAAGCGTGCTCTGCAGCCTGTGGCACTCTTGGGAGATGGCAGATTAGGAGGTGGGGCCTGATGGAACAGATTAGATGTGTGCCTTTGCAGGAGATATTTGGACCTTGTCTGCTCCTCCCATTTCAACAATTCCTGGGCAAGCAGCTTTGTTCTCTGTTCCACAATACACTTCCTGCCACAGACCCCCAAACACCAAAGCCAATGGACAAGAGATTGAACACTCAAAAAAGCCAAAATAAACCTGTCTCCCCTGTAAGTGTATTCCTCAGTTATTTCATTACATGATGGAAAACTGGTTGAAACACTGTATCACCCAAACCTGCCATGCCTGTCAAAGACAACTAGAGAAAAAACTGTAACTGATTTGTGTTTCCATCTCAGCATCCTTTCCTTATCCTAAGTTAGACCTGATTGGACAAGAGCAAAAA